CAGCTGCCTGCAACGTGACGTCAATGCGAATGCGCTTCAAACTTGCTGACGATGATGCGTATACGCAATGCCGAAAGCCATCCGCCCCGTTGCCCATTTGGTGATGATTTACATAACAATGGCATTTACGGGGCGCTAAGTGTGATAATAAATTGTGCTGTCAACTTGTATTTATCTATATTGCGACCGTTTCCGATGCCAGCGGACAAAAGTTTTGTTAGGCGCCACAACAACAAGTGGCAAGTGGTGCAAAAAGAGACTCTCCTTTATTACCTTGATTCAGTCGCGTCCTTCGAGTTCATTGTCTCTCCACCGACCGCCACCGTGCGTGTGCGTGAATCCTTTTCGGGTGTTCAGCTTTTTGTGGGAGTTCATATTAAATTCGTATGACTCGCGTGTGCCGCGCAAACAAATATCTTCGAAAAAAAGGGCCAGGCCGGCACAATGCAGCACCATCTCTGGGGCATAATTTGCGTTTAATGAATTGTGCAAAAAGATTTTTATTCACTTAGCCGCACACACACATGCGACCGTAAGCGGCTTAGCGCCATTTTTGGTCTAGCAAATTGAAAAGCTGCATTACTGCGATGGCCTCTTCTTCTTTGCTCAGTCGGGATTACTTTCCGATCAATTATTTAGTCATTAGCGTTACAATAACCCACTATATACACGAGTATATATGTGACTCTGTTTGCGTGGAATTTGTTTGATCGATTAATGTGGACAAGGCAGAACTGACTAATTAAGATTAATTAGTGGATCGGAATTTTCAATTACAATTTTGGGGATTATTATTGAAGCGGGCATTAAAGCAACTTTAAGATAGGACTCTACACAACCACACACACACACACACTCACACTCACTGGCAAAGAAGGGAAAATCTGTCAGTTCATCATTTCGAGTGCAACAACAACACAAACAATGCTTAGCACCACATCAAGTTAAGATGATAGCCGTCATGACAACAACACACGCCAAACTTTTCAAGATACACAAAGAGCATGAGCCGAAAAACGAGAAAAACTGGCGGCTGTAATTTACACGCTTTTCCCGGCCCGGCCCAGCCCGCCCCCACCCCCCGCTGTCCTCCCTCAACGTCAGGCAAACGCTTTTCCTGATAGCGGACATCCTCCCCAAGCATTGCACACTATGGCATAAACGTACGCCTTTATCTGGCATCGGGATGCGTAAATGTGCGTGTGTCCCGCATTTAATGCGGTCTGCCTTGGCGATAAACTTTTGCAGCTGTCTCGGGCCAACTTCCACTTCCACCCACCACCCACCACCCACCAACCAAGCACGGCTCCCTCCCAATAACGCCCGCTTTTATTTGGCATTTTTTGGATTGCCGCCTTCCGTTTGGCTCAATCATTTTACGTCTCATAAAACATAAATAGCAATCGATTCGTGAAGGGGTCCCTCAGTCGGCAGTCTCAGTCGCAGTCTCAAGTCTCCGGATCCGACGTTCTCCATCTGACACGGTCATTGTTTCGTCGGCGACAATTTGAATTACCCGTGGCAGAGATAATGCCAAAGTGGCAGGTCTGCCCCTCGATGCTGGCATACTCTTTCTAGTTTGCTTGAAATTAAAACATTTATAGGACCACCAATAGCGATGAATTGCTCTCTGTTTACATTGGAAGGCAAACAAATGTCTGGGAATTCATCTGCATCTCGTTCAAATTTTAAGAATTGTTGAACTTAAATGTTTACCAAAAGCGTTCTCAGTGCTTTGTGTTGGCGAAATTTTCAAGAAATTGTATTATATATATTCCCTACAGTATGCTGGAAATAAAATTTAGCTGCTCTTGGCTTAAGTTTATTTATAATTTATGGGATGTTAATTTTTTTTAATACATAGAAAACTTAAATTTTTTCATAAGCAATCAACTTTTAAATATGGTTTAGTGAGATTGGAGATAATTAATGTAATATAATAATGTTAAATACCAATAAATATATATAATAATGTTATAAAAATATTAGTGCACTTTTTGCCTGAATAAACACTTTCCTTTCCAACAGAAACACCTGCCTAATGTATCCTCACCGAGGACATAGGACATTCAAGGTTGCCGTATGCCCAACGATTCCACGTTTTTGTTGCTGCTTTTGTCATTATTGTTGTGTTTGCTGGTTGCTCTCGAGGGCAACATTTGGCGGTTACTTTGCCGCGGGCGGCTAAAGTCTATAATGCAGCATTATTTTATGTCGAGCCAAGCAATTTATTGAATTTTCTTCTCCTACGTTAAGCTTTTTTGTTTTTTGTTTTTCGTTAGGACTTTTTCTCCTTTTTTTTGGGGCAAATGTGTCGAAGTATTTTATGGGTGTTTTGGGCGAATATCAATAAATTTTTAATATGATAAAGTGAGTCAAATGATGATTGAAATCGAGCTTCGAATTCACATTGCTTATCCAGATCAGGTTTTTGCGGGACAAGCTCTGTTCATTTTGCAGTACTTTCAGTGCACAAATTGAATTCAGTGCTCGGTTGCCTCTTTGCTTTTCTTCTGGCCTTTGTGTCACTCCATCCTCGTCCTCAGAGTCCTTTTTTGTCGCTCTCTGCCATCTGCCATTTGCGATTTGCCATTTGCATGGGTAGTGAAAGCGATAAGAAAATTGCAATTCCCACTGCACCGACACATGTGACAAAAGGGCGTGGGAAAAGTGGGCGTGGGGTGGGCTAAGCAGCTTAGCAATGGCCAAGCAAAAAAAAAATCGCCAAATTCAATTGACGTTGTCCCAATGAAATCAAAGGCAAATCAATGCCAAACGCCAACAAATTCTGGGTGAGTTTAGCATGCAAATTTAAACGAAATATTTAGCCAGCACCAGACAATGAATTATCCCTGATATCGGGGGCTAATTTGTATTTTTAAGGGGTAACTTTGGAGTAAGTCGCGTTGGGCGTTTCTGTCATACAAGTTTAATTGGCTAAAATTCAGGTTTATCTTCTCCGCTGCCTCACTCACTCATACGCACACACATTTAATGACTACACCGTTGGCAATAATTTATAATACTAATTAAAATTTCGAACACGCATACAGGTAGACTCAAAAGCACACGCATAAATAATCACTGGAGAATGGAGATGCGCCGCCGGCATTGAAAATTTTCATTTGCATGCAGACAACAATCTCACGCACACAACCTCCGATTCGCATGAAATTGCGCTTCTCTGTATGGGTGTGTGACGGTGTGGGCAACCTTTATCAATCAAATGTTAATTAAGTTTCAACTCAGGCAACCGAACAAATGCCAAACGAACTAACAAACCAACTTTTTCACTGAGGCTTTTCCACAGGAGCCGCCGTCGACGACGACGTTTATGTTAAAAAATTAAATTGGTTTACTTTTAGGGGTTAGGAGGTTGAAGAGGGGCCGTCATGGCGTATGCGTTATAACTTGCCGCTCCTTTCCTCTTCTGATGAGCTATCACGCATACGACCCGGCAGCCGGAATATAAAATGCAAACGTAATGCGCTCATCAAACAGAATTACCCAACTGATGCTCCATCTAAAAGAGAAAAAAAAACTAAATACGGAATAAAGGGAAAATATATATTCGTAACCGGAAATGTAAGTGTTCGCCCCACTCTTTTCGTGATATTGTCTGACTTGTTTGTAATGGTTTATTGGTTAACATGCGCACAGATTGATGAGTGGCCAAATTGTACACAGCCGCAAATTGTGGCAATTTCGGTTACTGTCAACGCTACAAGCGCACACACACACACATACGCCGTCGCACACCCGCACTCACACTAGCAGAACGAAACTCACACACGTACAACTGGAGGGGCGTAAGCATGTGGCAGATGTGCAGGCACGTTTTTATATTGCAGCCGGCAGAAAAGAGCTTGTTTGCATGCCAACAAGGAGTGGCAACCAAAACAGAGTCAGAATCAGAATCAGGAACAGAAACAGAAACAAAAGCAGAAGAAGCAGAAGCAGAAACAGGAGCGAAGGTTGCAGCAGAGGCATCAGACTCCGTTGCGGTTGGGGCATTCCAGGAAGTTGTCCTGGCTAGCCGGATTCCGCCCAGACCTTGGCCAGCTGCATGCCATGCCAGAGTTTCAAGCATTTGCACATTTTTCGAAAATTTCAAGAAAAACACTCACATTTCTGAGGTTTTTAACGTTTGTGAAAGCGCTGTTGTACAAAGCAAGCTGACCATAATTTAATTAATTCAACAGGGATTTAAAAAATAAACACATAAAAGCTAACGATATTGAAACTTTCTAAGTTTCAAAGTTTTTCTAAAGGGTGGAACGCGTCACTTGACCTTAGTTTGTTACATAGTTGCACAAATATTGCAATACAAAGCCCTTTTATCTCATTATTTACCTACATATACCGCACTTACATAATAAGATTTGCTTCAATTGACTATGAACTTGTGCCGATATTAGTGTTTTGAAAACTCGTCTGGGGTGCTACCAGAAAAGTTTTCATATCAATGTCAAGGTACCACTACCATTGTGATTAAATTGTAAAACAATTCTAAGTAATTTTCCTAGTACTTTTAAATCTCAAGAGGTTGTGGATTGTGGGTAGGTGCGATTGACAGGCACCAAAGGAACGAACTTTATACATAACTTAAAGGATTTGCCTATTATTATTTCACAGTAAAGTTTCAAAGACTGTTGCAGCCAAGGTCGAACGGCATTCGATTGCCGCCCCTGACCTCCCCTTGCTGCATGCAACACCGCTCCTCGATTGTGTCACACAGGGCGGATGCTTGACGTGCAACGGTAACTGCAATTTGATAAAGCGAAGTGACAAGTGCAGCAGACCAAAAGGTCAACCCCACGTCTTCCACCGCACATCCCACCCTTCCCACTCTTAACCATTTGCAACTGACAGAAGTCTGCGGAACGGTGACGGGCGAGGTCAGGTAGGGATGTGGCAAAGAAATCACCTGGCATGTGAAGCGAGCATCAGCAACAGTAATCCCCAATGATAGGGCGTGACGTTGTCACACTTATGAGAGACACTGAGCAAAAACACGCGTGTTGCGCTATTTATTCGAGCTCATCTGGCGAGCAGCAGCTCAATGTCATCGGCCAGGGCAACTGGATCCAGCTCGGCGCCATATCTCTTGTGCAAATTCCCCTTCCGATCCACCAGAAACTTGACGAAATTCCACTCGATATCTGGCTGGTAGTGAGTCAGGAGCTTGTAGAGTGGCTCTGCCTGAGGTCCTTTCACATCTATCTTGGCAAAGATGTGTCCTATATTGGCTCCTTCCTTGCGAAGGTGATCCAGCATCTCCTGGCCGTCGGACTCGGGCATCTGGCCGCCAAATTGATTGCACGGGAAGTTAAGAATACTCAATCCACGCTCCTCATATGCCTCCAATAAGTATTTGAGACCATCATACTGAGAGGAAGTCAGTCCACATCTGAAGTCAAGAATAAAAGAAACAACTAAATCTACAAATTATAATTGACACATTACCCTGAAAGTCTTGCTTTATGGGGGGTGTTTAATTCTTTATTGCATTGAACTCATCATAAAGAACTAATCATACCGGTACAAAATCTTCCTTATCGAATGATAGTGCTTACCTAATTTCCTAATAGTAATATTTTGTAATTTTTTAGAGCACAGTTTTAACATAAGAAAGACACAAAAAAAGCGAGACTAAGTCAATTTTTTTTTTAAATCTTATATGCTTTTACATAGGACGTCGATATTTTTTGGGCTTTCTAGATAACATATCACTGAACAGTTAAACAACAATTGAGCAATTAAATGTTTTATTTACAGATTTTTGAGATTTTAATTTTAACGTTTAAAGGTAACAGCTTTTTTTTCAATTAAATTCAAGGAATAACAGTTTGTTGAAAAAAACTTTAATTATTTTACTTTTTTAATAAAAGTTATCATAAGACCTAATATTAAAATTGAAAAATAAAATTGAATAATAACAAAGAGGCCGAAATCTTTCTTAAAAAAAATGATTGCGACTGGGTACCGCCCCAACGAAAACGCATTTTTACCTGGAAGCAATGTTAACGATGAGCATGACCTTGCCAGCGAAGCTTTGGAGTTGCACGGGTTTTCCAAAAGTATCTCGAACCACCAGCGAGTGGACTGTTGAGAGCCATCGCATGTGCGTCAGATCCTGTTGCAATCTGCTACGTGTATGTAGTACTGTAGCAAGGGCCACTGCGGCCATGAGGCCATGAAGCACAAACTCCTTGTTAAGCATCGTGCATAGTACTACACTAACTGAATTTGGGATTCCAAACTAAAGCTGAGGAATCTCTGATCACGAAAATCGATTCGACAGGCTAATTGTGCGTGAAGCGACTGTTAAAAATCGCATTTAAATGTACGGCTCTTTCGCTTCGGTCCAGGCATATGCCAAAAATGAAAAAGGGCCAGCCAAAATTGAATTTGGACAAAACGGGCGAATGTTGCATGTGCTGACCCACGAAGCGAGTTGCACGTTAACTTAATTTTAAACTTTTTTTGGCCTCCGCCTGCCGCACGAAATGGGAGCACACCAAACACACACACAGGCACACTGAAAACAACAAAAAGTTGAACAATCGTAACGAAATAATTGAATTTTCATTTCCGTTTTATGTGTTTACTTCCGCTTCATGGCCGCGGCACCATTTTCCCCGACTTTTCACCGACTTTTCCCGTCTTTTTCCCTTTCCAATGTCCACGTGTGTGTGCGGGCTGGATGATTTCGGCCTATTTGTATACAAAAGGCAGTCAATTTCTGCCAGCTTGGCCAAACTTTTTAAGTCAATTGTCAAAAAGTTTTTAACATCTTTTCTCCTGCCTCGCCCCCTTATGTGTATTGCCCTGTTTCTGTTTCATTTTCGCTGCCAAATTGAAATATAATTCGGTGAAGTTGCGCCTCTTTTCGGTTCGGCTTTTCCACTTAGACGACATTTGGACGTGGGCCATAAATCAATGGCAGCCGAAAGGCGTTCGACTGAAATTGATTTGCAATTTGGGGCGTGGGCGTTACTCCTTTAGTCGTCTGTTAAACGTGTTCAGTAAAACCTGTCCGAAGTGCCAGTGCATTTTATAGTTTGAGTGCAAATCACATTTGCAAGTCTCTTGCAGGTCGGGGTATGTGGATATTTTTAGAGCCAAAATATTAAAGCAGAATAAGACAGTTAAAGTGTCACAATCTACGAAATGCAAAGAGACACGGTAAAGGGTCACCTGCTTCGAAAAGTAGAATGTTTCAAATATTTTAAGGATAGAAATAAAAGGAGACATAAATATACGAATTTTGATTTTAATTCGAAAATGGTTTAATAAAAATTACCATTTTTAGAGAAGTTCAATAAGAAATACTTGAATTAAAGGTGATATTTGAAAAAGAACATGAAAATAACAATGACAACTCTTTGTTATATCAAAATATAAATCTTTTATAAAATTTGTCAATTTTAAAATTGTAAGCCACATAAAGAATCCAATAGTATTTGAAAATTTATTCAAGGCTTAATACTTGTTTAATCAACGAGTAAAATTTTTATAAAAAATAATTGTTTAGCTTGTAAGTAAAATAATTTATTTTTTAAAATGACTAAATTTGTTATTAATCATTTATGTAGCTTGTAAGTAATATAATATATTTTTAAAATAGATTTTCCTGGGTGTCCAAAATAAGTTTTTGTAACAAATAAATTTTGGTTTGGAATTCGAAGAACTAACTAAACAGCTAAAATTGTGATTACTATAAAATCAGTGTAAGAGCGATCTTATAAAAGACGTCTACATTTGTTGAGTTAACATTTCAAACTGTTTTTATTTCATGAAGTTTCTTAACAAGTAACATTGGTGTGATTCGTTTTCTATTCATATTCATATCTATGGCCTACGCAGAGACCGCATCTGATTTGCCCTGGGCGGGAGAGAAACATTTCAAGTGATTATATTTGGAGGCTCAAGTGGCCTGCACTTACAGATTACAAGTGTACAAGTGATTACAACTGTTCCCTCGCATGGTTTAGGTAGCAGATCGTAGATTATGGCTCTGGATCGATTTACAATGTGACATCCACGAGCATAAAATCATAAAATCATCATAAAATCTTATAGTTGGGATTATTGTCTTATTTCTAATAACCCACGGAGTGGCTTGTTTGTCCCTAAATTGGGAAAATATTCTTAAGTGCGATAAGGGAGATCACAAATACCCTGATTGCACTTATACTCAAAGACATTCTGTGACCGTTCCGCCGGAGGTCATTTTACATTTTATGTGTGTATATTTTGTTTTACACAAGTGGCTGCTATACTTATATTTAGACGTGTTCATGTTTGAACAATCAGCATAGACTAATTGAAACCCGCTCAATAGTAATAAACAGCGATTATGTTAAGAGACGTCTGCCAAGCTCGGATTCCAGAGTAATCTTGGGATGATCCACTATAGCGGTTTGCATATTTAATGCACTTGGCATAAACTTAATAAACTTTGCCACCAGTTTCAGGTTATAAACCCGGCGCACTAAACTCGTAAACATGGAAATGCATTAAATTCAGCGAACCACAACTCGTTGTTTTATGACCAGCTCCATGAACTTGCCACTCCCCCACCTCCCATTTCCATATGGTTTTGTCTAAGCGTCTGCCATTATTTCCAGCTTTTGTTGCACCATTTTTTACCATTAACAGTAGCCATAAAACTAGCGTTTCCACCAATAAAAGTTTTGACATGTGGGGGCAGATTTTTTTACCATCTGGCCAGGATAGGTGTAACCTTCCACCTTGACACCGGGGATTTCCCATTTGGATGCTGCTGCTGGCTTCTGCTTCTGCATCTCCACTTGCCACTTGCCATTTGCCAAGCTGCCACTCTGCCCCTCGCTACTTGCGACTGCTACTTGCCACTTGCGCATTTAATTAAGTTTACGCCGCGCTGCACACGCAAAAGGATGGGGGACGTTATTAATTAAATTCCTTTATACACAGGTTAAGCCAACTCTCCCTCCCCCTGCCCCTTCCCAGCCGCCCTTCTTTGTGTGTCAACAATTGGAATATTAACGAGGCAACTAATGAAAGTTTACAAAGTCAGTTGTCGGCTAAGAAGGGACTTCCACCGAAACAAATCGAAAGGGAAACATTTAATAAGAGTCGCTGTCTCTGATTCCGGCCAAGATCAAAGCCGAGTCGAGGCAGTAGAAGCCACTGCTAGAGCCGTCTCTCGCTCCACTTGACCCACCCGGCGTATGCGTGATTTTCATGCCCAATTATAGTGGATCGCCTTGGGAGCCGAGTGTCTGCGTGTAAATCCCACCGAGATGATGCACTCCGGCGAAGGGTTTTGGACCCCTAATCAGCCACGACCTTAACCCATGGCACACACACGCAGACATCAAAGCAAAAACACGCACACCCACTCAAGCCAAACAATACAGGCACATACATATGCAAACGGGATATGAGTATTAACTGAACGTATTTAAGCCGCTTGTCGAACGCGCGCAAATCCAGTAGGGGAAAATCGACTTTTATTCAATACTCTCGAAAAATCAACTTGGCAGATAATAAAAAAAAAAAGGGCGAAACAATGGAAAGAGGGAGGTGGCGGGGGCGGGCATTATGCGAGTATAAATGTGCAAATCCCCAATGCAGCAACAGCTGCTGCTCCCCTCTCCCCCAGACTGCATTCGCTTGGCATTTACATTTAAGCTGATAAGCAAAAGTGCCTTCTCCTCAGGGCCCTCAATTTTCCGCCCTCCCCATACGTCCGTACCCTTCAAAATGCCGCTTCCACCTGAGCGTTAAGTCGCCTTGAAGGGCGCACATATCGAAGACACGAAGACGGCGAAAAGAATTGTTTGTTGAAAATGTCGCAAGTTTATGAAATCGCGTGAGTTGGCAGCCAGGAATTTACATTTGACGCACGCACTTTACATTATTAATGCCTGAACCCGAAGGCGGCTGGGGAAAGTACAAGTTTTAGTCTAAGGATATGCGACTAGAATATTAATACCTCTTTTAGGTTAAAAAAAAAAACGAATTGTTGTACAAAATGTTTATTTGCATTAAGCATGTTTACACATAAAATCAGGGAAGTAATTATTATAATCCTTCTTGTTTTCTTTCTTAAAAAAAATTAAAAGCCCAAATGTAATTTTTAATTGCAAAGCAAACAGTGTTTTTAAACTATGATTACAACTTTGAAATTGTTTCAAGAAAAGTTTCACCCTTTGAAAAATAAATATCTTTTAAATAAAATACGACATTCGGCCTATTATTTACATTTAAAATTAATTTTTTAATATGTGAGGGGATCCGTAGTTTTTGCCAATTTGGACATGAGTTCAATATCCTCACACATTCCACTGCAAGAGGGTATAATAATAAGACGGAGTAAATGGGTATTCCTGAGTGTGTGCGCGTGGCAGGGCATGAGTGTTTTGGAAAATGCTTCTGCCATTTCGCAAATGTATCGCATTTCCGTTTGGGTGTTTGGATTTTTACGCTTCGCTAAGAATTTTCCAATTTTTGCTGCTAATATTTATTAATCAAGTAATAGCCACTAACACACACACATGCACTGACTATACAAACACTTGAGTGCGGCTGTGTGTGAGTGTGAGGGCGCTTGATTTTTGCCCGAAAAATTGATTGGAAATTTATAAGCTAAACTTTTTCCACTGTTTGCTTTTGTTTGCGGCTCACGAAACAAACTTTTTTTGTGTGTGCGCGGTTTTTTTGTTGCTGCCATTTGCAGCACTTGAAAAGGTCGCCACAGCTGGGAGTGTGTGTGGGCGGCGTATGAAAAATCCCATCACAAAAATATTGAAATTCGATTTTTTGTAGCTCTCAGTAACCTTTTACCAGCTCCCCAGCTGTCTGTCAAAGCCTCGCCATGAGGCAAGCAGCATTTCGAATCATTTTCAGTACAAACTTTGTGTCGAGCACACGTAGAACCCACTCCAATCAAATAAAGTAAGTTCGAATTGCAACTATTTCGATTTCTGTGGCAAAAAAGTGGAAAAACTATTCAATCTAAAATAATTGTGGTCAATTTTCGGATAACCTTTTCAACTTGCCTGTCTCCCGCAGCGCAGCCCATCGAGCACTACAAAATGAACTTTCTGCTGATCTTTGGGTGTAAGTATGGGATGTTTGGCGCGTCTGCCTATTTTAGTACTCGGAATTTATTGCTAACAATGTGTATATGGTTTAGGTGCCCTCATGATGATGATGCAACTGCAGTTTGGTCACTGCCTGCGCATGAAGCGCTCTCAGGGTGATGCTGCAAGTGATAACAATGGGAACTCTAGCTCGGGACCCGATGCCACCGTGGTCTTGGCTCCGACCAATGACTCTGTTACCAGTGCTTGCCTCACTTTAACCACATCTTCGAAGCAGAAGATTACAGCTGGACCGAAGCAGACTACCGAGCTTCAAGGAAAAACCACGAAGGCTACCACATCTTCAGCACTGACTGCTGCGGCTTCCACATCCACATCCTCGCCCTCGGATGCCGGCAAAATGCAGCAGGTGGAGGATCCGATGGGGCTGCACCGCCCCAAGCGGCGTTTGGGTGGCCTGCTGGAGGAGGGCCTGCAGCCGCGCCAGTTGCACCACAAGCGTCGCCAACCGTGGGATGCAGTGGCGACCACTTTACAGCCACCGATGCCACCCATTCAACCCATGCCACCCAGCCCCTATGTGTACTACAACAAGCTGGTCTCGCCCGACGGCAAGCACGAGGTGAAGGAGTTCGAGCTGCTGGCACCCAACATGGTGATTGAGAGTGTGCAGCAGGAGCTTAACTACGGGCCGGAAGTGCTGCCACCGGAATTGGCCGGAGTGCTGCTGCTGAATGCAGCCGAGAACGCTCAGCAGCACGCTGTCCATAATTCAGCGCCACTGAAGCAGCAGCAGCAGCACCACCACAAGCACAAATCCTCGCCGGCTTTGCCACCGATGCTCTACATGCTGCAGCAGCTGCTGCAGCCCCCTTTCGAGGGCAGTGTGCTGGTGGAGTCGCCAAGGGAACCGCAGCATCGCGTCAGCTCGCCGCTCTATCAATTCCTCGATGGCGCCATGGATCTGGCTTTGCGCAGCAATCCCGATGTCATCGAGCACCTTCTGGGGGATCACCTGGAGCTGGAGCAGGAAAGGGACAAGCTGAAGAGCGGCAAGGACAAGACTGGTCCCAAGAAGGTCAAGAAGGATAAGGAGAAGGAGAAGGCAGATCCCTTCCCTCCCAAGGAGGAACTCGTGGTCAGCTGTCCCATCCACCACGAACACCATGCCAATCGGAACGGGGAAATGGTCGATGACGATGTGGTCTTGGTCAACGAGTGTCATCTGGTCTAGATCTAGCCGGGATAATACACAGGACAGGGGACACTTGGACATTCGGTTTCTTAAAAATTGTAGGTTTCTTCGTTTTCTCCCATTTTTTCTTTGCCATCTGCTCCGACAGGCAAGTCGGCCTTAAATTATTTACATATTTTAGTGTTGCTGTTTAAAAGGTTTTAAGGCCGACCTTATTGAAAAACACAGGGACAATAAAAACTAATTACACAATCTTAGTGCACGGAGTAAGTCTTTGTGGGTTAGGTTAGTTAGGTTTTTACTAACTATTCGATGCTTAAAAGGGGCCAACATCCGTTTCAGAAATAAAAGAACATAAAACAAATGTAAAATCATTTTAATTGAATACAAAAAGTGCATACAAATAAAATTTGATCTGAAATGAAATTTAGTTTCGATTTGTTTCCTTCTCTTTTCTCTTGTGCATGTACAATCTAAATTAAATTTTCCCATATGTCTATTATTTGTTTACTGCCAAAAAATGTGGTCAAATTTTCAGACATTTTATAATTTTCCTTTTTATTTCGCCAAGAGCTGTTTCGAATTGAACCGACCCATCGAAAAAATAGAGAAAATGTCTGCATCGCCCGAATGTTGAAAATGAAAACTTTATTCACAGATGCAGTTAAAGCAACTTCAGATGCATGCTTTCAAAAAAACCAAAAAATAACCTTGATTGAAAAAGGGAAGCTCGAAGGATGCATAAAAATCCTTCGGGAATGCCATTATCACGCAGATTGGCCATTGTTGCTCCCCAACAAATATCAAACTTTCGCTCCAATCGACACCCACTCCCCTGGGTTGCATTTTCCTTGAAGTTTGCCTTCGTTTTCATTAACAAAATCGATTTCATACCTTGAAATGTCCCGAGGAAAGGGTGCTGTCCGGGTGGGGGGTAAAATTGATATGCCGAGTGCGACAGTGCAGCCATACGAGCAAACAAATCTAACATACAAGCCCTTGACTGCGAATGAGAATTAAAATGAGGATGTGGATGGCAAAAGTTTTGCCGGCTGCTGTTACTGCTGCTATTGCGAATTGCTAAATGCTGCTAATTTCGTATACAATAAAACTAATGTAAATTGCCACTTGACGTTCACTGGGCGTGAAAGTTTGTGCCAGAGTATGTGCGAGAGTGCCGTGGGTACTGTGTGTGTGTGTGGTGTGTGCAACACATAGACATTAAATGGGGCACATAATGTGCTGGGAGTCAGGAATAAAGAGCAAGGAGTCAGGAGACCAGGGATGACAGCCCAATGCCAAAGCGAGTGTCATGGGTGCCTGGCCATCAGCATAAATACAAATTTGCTCCACAAATCCATGTATATAATCTATATAAACTGCACTAGAGTGCCAGTACATCTACATGTGCGAAGCGGAAAAGTGCAACGCAGCATTCGTAAAATTGCGTAGCTCCTTCGACTTCAAGATGCATTAAAAAAAACTTCTACAATTTTGTTTTATCAAAAAACATTTTGAACGAAATAAATAAAAGTAGTTTTAATTAACAAAATGACAAATAACACTCTCATCGTAATGACGTCCCCGATTTGAAAAATTATAATTTGCAAAAATTAAATTTCTGCTTGTTTTCAAACCTAAATAGAACAACGGCAAATTTTGGTTTTCGAAATTCTTAAGCAGCATCAAACTATTTTAGGATATTTTAACGATGACTTTAACGAAAGAACGACGTACCTCTACGTATTATTGGACTCGGCCTAAAAGAATGCTTTTCAAATAATTTGTTGTTATTCGAACAAATAATTTAAAAATTTAGACTATGGCTCAGAAGAAAATTGTTTGTATTACACAATACAATTTCTTCATTTTTTTAGACCAAAGAGTTTTTAATACGTTGAAGTACAAAGAAGAATGGTATTTAATCATTGAATGGTTGAGCTACTTAAGCCATATATACAAGATTTCGCTTTCGCAATAATAAATTGCAAAAATGCTATCGAATATGAAAATTCATTTCGTAAATGTGAAACAACCGAAACGAGAGTGAAAATAATTATTCATAGATTTCTCTTTCTGTGTACTCAGTGGCACTGCCAATGTCCCCGGGGTGTTAACTGGAGTGGAAATGCGAATGTATGTGCAATTCCCGCTGCTAAGTGACCAGGCCCCTCCAACATAAACACTCCCACATATATATTTATTTACAAGTGTAAATAATAAATGCTTGCATCAGCCATTCCACTCAACTCCAAGGTCCTGTCAGCATTGAAAGTGCATTAACTCTTGCCATAGTTTTGTCACACGCTCCATTTCAGCTTAATGTTGACATCTAAATAATGTCTTTAAGATTCGGGTAATATAAATAAATACACACTTGAAAGGAATTCGAGAGGAAGGCAGACGGCTACCACTTTTGCTAATCTCTTTGCTTTTGAAATTTATGGCTTCATTATGAGGACGACAAAGACAAGCGTTGCCAGGACATTGCCACTCGTCTGTCAGTCACTCTTTCAGTCAGGCGGTCTGTCGGGGTTTTTGTTGTTAATGTTATGGCTGTCATTTGGCAGCTTGTAATTACGTTCGCCACAAGTTGTTGCCAAAAGTTGTAATCTAGATTTCATAGTCAAAAGGCGACGAGCAACAACATAAAATTCAATTGAACTGTTGAGTCAGCAAAAGTCAAATGAAAAGGAAAGTGCGGGGGAGTTCAGCTTTAAATTGCCGTTAAAGTCATGGCTATAGTATCTGCCTTTGGATAGACATAAAGTGTGTGACATTTTGCGCAAGTAGCCAACAAATAAGCTGAAGAAAATAAATTGCAAAATCATTTTTATTTGCTGTTAAATTCATTCAGCCAGTTTGATTTTTAATCGAAAAGCGCTTCACATAATTAGCTTGGCGTATTTAAAGTGATTTGAAGATATATATGCTAGTTAATTGTGGACGCTTATAAATTTCGCGTTTGATTTCTATTTGTGAAAAAACTTATATAATTGGAAACTGTTTAAGTTAATTTAAAATTTACAAATTGATAATGAATTAATTTAAGCGAATATTGATAGATATTTCGGTGCCTATAATATCAAGGGATAAAAATAATGCATATAATGTTTAATCAAACCCATTTTGTAATGGTTTTAATTGGATGGGCAACTGATTAGCTTACTTTAGTTTCGAGCTAAAAGTTGAAGAGAACTAAAAAACATTTTCAATTGTATTCTGCACATTTCAAGTTGTGTAGATATGTTTATTTGGTAACTTAGACTATCAAGTTCACTCGATTTGGTAAATTATAGTAATTTATAAAAGTAAACACATAGTAAATGTTTTATAAAACAGTTTTGAAAATGTTATTGTTTAGTTATTTTGATGTTAAGATTTTGTACCAAGACGAACTTAAAAACTTTAAGTAGCTACCAACTGTTTGCGTTATTGAGTAAACAGATATTAGGATTGTGCGTGTAATTTTTTTTAGTTTATTTTTTCGGAACTCTCTTTTAAGAACTCTCATGTTATTTTGTTGTTTTCTTGTTAGAGAGCTTTCGTTTTTGAAACGGATTTTTAAAGTCTTTTTGGCTTCTTTAGGAACTCCTTTATTTATTTTATTGCTGTTTTCTTATATTTATAAAAAAAAACTGGGCTATGCTTTATTTTAAGTTCATATTTTCTATTGCTAACATGTAATGCAATGCAATAAATACAAAATTGTCAACCACTTTCAATATTTTAAAGCGAATCGTTGAATTTCAAGATTCCGCCGCAAAAGCGACAATTTCATTTTACTCGATTGCCCTTTGCGGCTATCATACGTGACGTATGCGACATGTGACAACAGAATTATGCAAATTTCAGTGTCACCTTCAATTGCACACCGACCGCACGCACACCACAAAACACACATGGCCGGAGAGACATAGCCAAGTGACAGGGAAAAGGGCAGAAAAAATGTTGATTATTTCGCTTGGCAGAAGTGTCGATAAAACGCTGAGTGATGCAGGCGCTGCGAAATGACGAAAATCAATATACAAATAAACGGTGGCGCGAACAAGGGGGCATACATCAAAGTGGCTTTAATGCAAGAACAGTCTATTTAAATTGTCAACAACAGAGTCGGCGAGGCGTAGTGTGAAATTATGGTCGAGAGGCGGCTAAAGGGTCCTTTAAAGTGTCTGTTCTGCTGCGTGTGTAATTGAGACGTGTGTTGTTGCTATTGTTTGCTCGTTTCCTAAGCCAAATTTATTTCAACGCACTTGCAAGTAAAACCGCAAAAGCAGAGAAAACTTCTGGGTGCGGGAGAGCCTTCACGCTGCGTGCAAGTTTGCAAGTGAAAACTTTGCTGTCAGGGATACTTTATGTGCAAATTTTTGGTTTGCAAGATACACAGTGCCCACAGAGACACATCCTCACACTCGCCCGCACATACACTCTGCTACATGGTCAGCAATTTTGCTTGTTGCCGTTGTCAGCTGACAAGTCATTTGCATGCACACGAAGCAGTCGAACAAACACTCCTGCCATCGCACACAAAAAACAAAACCGACCAGCAACACACACAAAAAATGCCTTCAACTTGAGGCAACAACTCGAACTGCCACTACAACAAATTGGCCACTCCCTGTTAGCATATAAATCACATTGTAAAAGACAAATTGAAAGATGTTGCTGCGGGCTGCTGTCGTTGCCCCAATCCCATGCAATTAACATCCGCACACAGAATGCATTCAAAGGTCTATGCCAAATACTCAGCCCATCAGACGATCGCTCCCCAAAAGCACACATAGACACTGGAAAAAAATTTTAAATTCGAATTCAGTGAGAATTATATTATTTACGTAATAAATATTATTTACTTTAAAATTATACATGACATACATGACAAAAATACAAATACCTAAACCTTAAACAATATGTAACAATGAATAAGGTCTGACGATTAAATTATTTAAAATGTGGGTATACCTTTATTTAAAATATTATATTTTAACAAAAACGAAACAATTTCTTTGCATGGTTGTCAATGGCCATTCTGGACAATTTTGTTTAAATAATTTGTCCATAGCTTCAGCCATAAAAATATAAATATTTTAAGTATCTAAAAATATTTTTTCTTAAGTCTAAATAAAGAGAACATTTAATTATTTTGTTCACAGTGAGTACCAACCAAATGGATGAGTTGACAAAAATATATAAAACATTTAACACAACACTCACAATAAAATGAAATATTCCGTGCTCGAATTTCGGTGTTAACTAGGACTTTTTTTTAAAACAACAAATTACTAAATTCAGTACAATTTAGGATTATTTTTTTTTTATATAAGATCAATTGATTTTAATTCGAACTATCTTAAGATAGTTATTATAATAATAAAGTGATGTTTATTATTTAAGAAAATAAAAACCTTGTTTGAGAAATATTATTCTATTTATAGAGTAACGTAAAAAGTAAAAACAAAAGCATGTTTATATTTATAGGCTTAAATCAATTAATCAAAGTATGCTAGCATCTAAGCCTTATACCTTGTTTATATTGCGACATCAAAATGTGATAAATGTTTCATTTTAATTTTGTATTAACAAAGGTAAAATATTCATTCTAAATAGAATTGGGATTGACTATATTATGACGGCAACGCCTTGTTCCAGAGCATTATATGCGTTTTCCTTATAAAATCTAAATGAACATAGTGCCGTAAACAATCTCCATCTAGTTTCCCCACCCGTAAAATGATTCTGAAACCGCCTGTGAACCCGGCAAGTGATGGACTACCCGACTAGACACTCAGCTGGCTCCCAGTAAGGGCAACAATTAAATGTCAAGTCTTCTGATTAATCCTAATGCCAGGTCAGAAAGGGTGGGGGTGCGGGAGCAGGACTGCCAGATGACCACAGTGTTGTCAAGCCGACGTTGTCTTCGTGGAAATTCAATTTTCCAAGGCAATTACGGGTCACAGTGGCTTGTGCCTACGAGATACAAAAGCTGTTGTATCACTGAATGCATATTGAACGAATCATGGTTAATGGCTATGCTCCACAATCTGAATCGGGGAAAAACTCTCACGATTTGCATGCATAAACAAGGATCATCGATGTAGGGTGGCTAACTCCTAAGCATTGTTTACTGTACCCAGCAGCAGTGCTGGAGACAATAATGCCATTGACTGGCTTACTTTTCCCTCCATTTTCCCTCCATCCACGACCCAATTTGAGTGCCGAGGACAATGGCAAAACATTTAAATGCGAATAAAGTAAAGTTGTCCTCCAGCTGGAGATAAGCTCAATCTTTATTGTTTATTAGAAATGATTATTATTAATATTCACACAATGAGAATTTAAGGTTCCAAGTGGTCTTCCATACTAATTTTCCATTTATCTGGGACTTAATGAGCTTTCACAGGTGTTCCTTCCTTGGGAGGATTAACAGATTCTCACCTCTGCACTCCAGGGTTCCCTATTAAAGTACAAAATCTGGCGGCACTGGCGCTCCTGCTAAACTCAATAAGAAAATATGTCAAGTTGTTGCCGGGACAACGCTTAAGCTGTCACGTAACCCACTCCTCTCCCTTTTCCATATTTTCCGCACCCTCAGAATGACCGCAGGCAGGCTGGGAAAGTTGGCTGCCAACTTCAGACTCTTTTTACCCGCGTTTTAAGGTGTGCGCTAAGTGCATTTTAATTTGTCTTTCATAAAGATGGTCAGCATCTCCTCGCTCACCATTTTGCTCTTCATTGTACCGGGCATATTTTCCGCAGAGCTTTTCCCAACTATTAGTGCTCGCCATCGTCACTGTCAGTGCAGCAAATTACAACAAATTAAATTTTCCGACCTGCTCTTTGCCCTCGACAGATACGCGGCAGGTGATTATGCATATTTTAAATGGTCAGCGTCCATCATCTGGCCTCTCTTTCCCCCCGCCAGCATAGCATGCTGTCTCTCTCCATTCGTGTCAAAGCCTTTTTAATGGCCAATGAGCCGGCGTGAAAACGGTTGAGCAAAGGCAGGCGGACGTTTGATTTTGAACAGATGAAACGCGGCAAATAAATACATACTCTATTTGCTTTGCCCCTCGATTTGTTATTGAATCTGCCGGCGCTGAAATTTTGATTACACTTTTTTTTCGCAATATCTGTTTGCGATTCTGACAGTTGCCCATAATTGATTAATCATCAGCGGCGGACTGGACGCACGCTCGCGAAAACATGAACTATTTTTCTTCATCTAGTTGAATATTTTGGCAAGCATTAGGGGAACGGCTGCGAAGAGCAAGGAAGTGCCAAATAAACGAAGCGAAAGATAAAAGCGAAAAATGGGAAATGCATAATTATGAATAAGTTATTGCCCATTAGCTCGCAGGGAAACTGAGGAAAAACTGAAGAGCAGAGGAACTAAAAACGGAAGCGAAATACAGTACCAAACTCTGTGACTGGCGTTTAACTCAATTAGACGGTTGGTATTAAAAAGTTCACCAACTAGCGGGGATTTTTTTTAGACAAATAGACAATTAAAGTTTATTTATTCTGGATTTCTTTTTGTATATCTTTAACACACATTATGGCTTTTTTTTGCTTGGAAAATTTTTCTTTCTGCTTATGTGTGCATTAAATTAAAGTATTTTAACTATTAACATATGTGACACAGTCAGTAAATAAGACAAAACAATATTTTTTAGATTTTGTACTATATTTTAAAATATTTAGATTAAAAATACATGAGCTTAACAAATATTGTACAACTTTATAGTCACAGTATGTTTAATAAGAAAAATTTATTAATCTTCCAAACTATGTTACTGCTTAAAATATGATATTCTTTAAGAACGAATAAACTTAATGGTACCAAATGATACATAATGATACCAAAAATTAACAAATTTAATCGTTATTATGACTTTTTTGCCTAATATTTACAAACTAAAAAAAATATTTAACCCCTATCCCGAAATTATACCAAATAAAAGACTAAATAACGATTGCTGTCATTCCTTTTTTAAAAGAAACCAATAAGTTAAACAAAACACTTTTAGCATTCTTCGACTTACTAATATTTTAGATGGAAAAACCGAGTGAAAATACCTGGCACTGAAGCCGTCAAGGATACTTGGTCGAAAGCGCCTATCAGTTGGCCGCCGAGCCTATCCCAACAACTGATAAGGCGGCTAAGAGAGCGGGAGAGTTGCGAACGGCGCGCTCTTCGCCAGAGCGGAACTCTACACTTGGCTAAGAGAGCGCCATAACGGGGCTTCGTGCTGGCCAGGAACCAACGAGGCTGCCTTCGGGCGCTGCCGCTGCCCTGGCTATGACGTAGCCGCTGCTGCCGCTACCGCCGCTGCCTGTGACTCTGCCGGCGGCGACTGCGGCAGCGGCAGCGGACGCTTGCTGCTGATAAACAGTTTTCGTTTATCATCAGTTTGTCGATGGCACAGCGCGCAACTGGACGTACTCTCGCATCCTGCCAATGGCATCGGCAACGGCACTGGCATCAGTTTTAGCCCAATTCGTGTGTGTTCGTGTGTGCGCGGCTGCGGGTGTGTGCGTGTTGGCCAACTTTAAACGCTCTTATCAGCGCGCGTGTGAAGCATGAGCTCGGTGCAAACAAATTTTGGCGGCATTTTCAATTAATGGCAATGCCAGCAAAATCCATCGAATATTTGAAGAAATAAACCATGTAGGAAAATTGAAAAAAAAGCATTAAAAGGAGCAACACAATAAAAAAAGTAAGTGTTTTGAGCCAAGTTCTATCACGAAAATAAAAATTACACACAAGTGGCAAGAATACATTATGGAAAGTGAGATTTCTACAAACAACACTATATAGAAAATAAAATTTTTAAGTGCAAGGCTTTACAAAATTGTGTGGGATTTTTTAAAACCTTAAACCAAATAGTTTTGAAGACAAACTATGAAATTAATTTAGAATTCAAATTGGTAGCTCATTTTCTTTTCATAATAATTAGATTGTAATGAAATAATTATTCTCATATATATATATATGTAACGGTATGGCAATAAAATTGTGAAAACCGAAATATTGAAATGAAGTGAATGAACTATAAAATTAAAACGAATATATTTTGCAATATAATTGTTAGCTTATTTAACGCTTATTTATCAGCATAGTTATTACTCGCTTAATTAGATGAAAAGTTAATTTAAAGGTAATGAAATTTATTTGAATAGAAAATAGCAAGGCAGATATGCCAAAACACCAAACTGATTGTGGGAAATTATTTTAGCAAAAATATCTAAGCTAATTATTTCCATGCAGAGAGTAGCAAATAGTTGGTGGTTACTTTAATGAGTGATTAAAAGTTTACAAAAAGTTACGGGTTGACTAATCAGATTTTAATTGAAAACCGATTTTAGTTTTAATTAAAGTGAAAAAACCAAAAATATTATTTTATAGCTTTAATTATAGATAGTAAGTATTGATAAGTTTGTTACACTTTTTGACGAGTATAATTACTAATAGGCAAATAGCATTAAAACTGAATTATTTAAAACATTAAAAAGTTTATTAGAAATTTAACCAGGAAAATACTAGTTGTACTGAGTTATTCAAACAAAAAAGAAAACAAAAGGTAGTTTTTCGATTCAAATTGCAATATATGTCTGCGTTTATTTTAGTGAAAATTGGAGAGAACTTTGGGAAGTATAAGCCAAACATTTTAGTTTGTTATCAAATAGTTTTTGGTAAATGCAACATGCACAACGTATCAGTTGAATTTAGCTAAATAATTAAGGCCAATTTAAAAGCAAATTTGACAGTTAAGAATTGTGTTGTTTGCGATGGAAACTGGCTAAACATATGGTTTGGTAAATAATGTTTGCTTACTTAAAGAGCCCCAAATGGCTTTGCTGAATTTTACGATTCCGATGGCCTTTATTATGTATTGCTAATTTTATCTGACTGCGGATTTATATCATTTTCGACGGAAAATTTCCATGCATATTTCATTGGCAGTCGCGGCGGCATAGCTCATTCCATTATCCTCTTGGTTCACATAACTGCACAAGCCGACAGGAGAAATAACGAAAAATGCGCTGCGACTTGAAAAGTCAAAAATTATGTAAATGCAAAACATTTTGTGTTGCTCTATGCATGTAAACAATTTTTTGCACCATTATGCGCCATCAAGTATGCAAAGATATGTTGTTCCAGAGCAGCCAGCCTCTGCTGTTTCTGTTAGCCAGGTTCTGGATGGGAGGGAGGGTCGGTAGAGGTCTAAGGGGGCTGGCTGCTGACTGGTAGTCACTCACCTGAGTCGCAGGCTGCGGGCGGCTCTTGGCATGCCATCCAGCGTGTAGAACATCAGAATGTTTAGATTTATGTGAGCCAGTGACAGCTGCAGGCGAAGATCCAGATTGTCGGGTGGGCACACAGGGGGGGAGGCTTAAGGATGTGGCCCCTTATCCTGCTCCCTGCTAATCCTTCAAACTGTGCAAAACACTTTTGGCAGTTCTCGTTCCCGTTCTCGTTCTCGTGCTCGGCCCCGTTCCTTTGGCGCAAAGTTGAAAGTTTTCTGTGATGTAATCGCATTTGCTCCGGCTGTCTCTTTAATTAAATTTAAGAGACTGACAAAAAAAATAAGCAAAGCCGCCTGCCTACGGAGCGTGCAATATTTAACTTTCGAGTTTTGCATTCAATTCACGCACCAAAACTTGGCCAACACACACTCGCCCACACATACACACACTCGCCCACACACACACACATACACACACGAGATCCGGAACTCAGTTCCTTGAATCCGTTTTACTGTGAGTTGTGCAAATCCCCGGCATGCTTTCAGTAGACAAAATATGCGCCTTTGGCGCTAAGTTTTTTGGGCGACATTTGTTACTTTTATTTACGCACACGCAACAAACACTGAACAAAATTATTGATTTTGTATTGACACCTTAACTTTGGCAAAAACACAATCAGTCCATTATTTCTAGAACTATAATCTTAATCTTTTATTACTTTTTAATCACTTAATTACAATATGGCCTTTTAAAGTTAAAAAGTAAGTGTATTTATCCAAAAAGACAATCATTTTGTATGAAATAAATTAAAATAATTGATAAGAAACCCATATTGTTGCATAGAAACATGAACAGAATATTATTTAATAAAACCTAGACACCATTGTGTTAACAAAATAGAGTGCAATTTTGTTATTTTTGTTATATAAACAAGCTCTGAGCTATTTTTTTCCTGTGTAGCCGGTCTTCCTATGGCAAATAAGATTAACGTTTCCACTGAAACCGTGGCTCAAAGTAGTGAGCCCCATAAAAAGCGTGTATCGGGCGGGACCTTTACCCATGTTGTAGCCCAAATATAAACCACAGTCAACGAGGCGCACACATCCCCGAGGTGTTTCATTCATCATCAAGTGGCAAAGTGGCACGTTCCGCTCTCCAGCTCCACTTTATACCCATCCCCTGTCCCGACTCCCTTTATGTGCAACTTTTCCTATATTATATGCGAACAATGTTTGAAACTTTGACTGGCTTTCGGGTCGCAAATCTAATGCACAGGCCCTTGGGCCCGGCTCCTCGCACTGTGCATAATTTAGGGTTTAAAATTTTTTATTGCCAGCATTTGGGCGTCGGTTGCGGCAATGAGCCGAGTTTTATGAGTCAGTCGGTGAGCTGCATTAATCCCCTGCAGCCATCAAATGAGCTCAGCGTCCGACGTGCTGCGGCATAAATTAAACAATTGCCAGCCATGTGTTTGACCAGTGGCGAATTACGCATACGCCGCGTTGGTCGCTCCAAAGAATCCAGAGCACTTCCAACTTACTCGCTGGGCAGAGTTGTAACGCCTGCTTAGCCTAAGACTGGCTCCATCCAGCCTTAGAATTGTTTATTATTAAATTCAGCACTGACCCGGAAACTTTTAAGCAGCTTAAATACTAATTAATTTCAAAAACAACAACATTTTTGGAAGTTTTGCAAATAGAAATGGAACTGTCAACGTTGGCGGGGTAGATTGTGTACCTAAAAATGTACAAGATATATATTTGCGCTGCTACATCCGACTCCATTAACATTTAATTTTCGCCGGCGCTCCATTTTAATGTGGGAGCCACTTCAACTTTGAGTCGGCTACGGCGAAATAAATTACAATCAAATGGCTGCGCCAGCCAGCGAAATGTGCGGCCGCAGCAGTAAAGTTTAATATTTCTGCCTTTAAAAGGGCAGAAATTATTAAAAAATTGTGCAATAAAGGGGGAAGGACAGGAAGGACCTGGAGGGACCTGAAGGACCGCCATGGAGTGACGGGTAAAGCGAGACGAAGAGTAGACATTAACCTGATGCGAAACCGGCAGCAGCCGAAAAATGTTTAGTCGTAAACATATTAAAAGCTACTTTGCATAAACTTGGCCCGTCAAGGATTCGCCTTCTTATTTTCGAGACCCTGCTCCGCGAAGGGGACACATTGCCATTTGCGATTTATTGAAAAGGGAAAAGCAAACGACAGCAAACGGCAAAAACCCATAAAATCCCCGAAAAGGGGAAATCGGAGGAAAAGCGAGGAAAAAGCGAACAAAAGCAGAGCTCTAAGAACTCTGACGACCGCTCGACGACCTGACGACGACTCGTCAGTGGAAAAGGTGAACGCAAGGGGCGGGGTCACCGCCGCCGCCATTCACTCTTTATTAGCCAGGCCGGCTGACTGGTGAAAGGCTTCATTAAAAACACATTTCCTGCACAAATGTTTTCGCCAAAGTCCAAGTCCTAGATCTGAAAGATGCACCACTGCCGATATAAAAAAAAAGGCTAGGGCGAATACAAATCGGAAAACTGCTAATATATTTTGCATTTGAAAGGCAGCTGTCAGTGTGGCAAGAGCAAAGCAAACCAAGCTGGCACTAGAATGCGAATTTGTATTCAAACCGACTATAAGTGGAGAAAACAATATTAAATTCCAGCGAATATCGATTGAACAAATATTTTCTTAGTCTCATTCTGAAGGAAGAAAATTTGAATTCTGGCTGCTTAGGAATTGAACTTCTGTTTAGTCAGCTTATTGAAAAATAAAGGTAATCTTTTTGCACAGACTTCATTTTCTGAAATTTACCATATTATCATTTTAATATAAAAGAATTTACCCAGACAAAAGACTTATACCAAATAAGAAAAACATGAGTCTCCGTGTTCCGAGAGCACCACATAAAATTAGTCTGCAGCTTTGGTATGCACTCAACAAAGTCCGAAAATAACCAATATCACTGTGCCATAAAAGCAAGCTCTCCACATTTTAACCAAGCCCGAGTCCCGCATTTTAAAATTGACTTTAATGAGGGCCCGCATATATACATGGTTATGTACACTAGGAGCTTAGTTTATCAGAGCGGCAGCGGCGACTTATTTATATTTTGCCGCGGCGTTCGCGTGTCAGCTGGTGTCAAAGCGCGGCTAAGCAAAATATTTACAATGCAGCGGAGCGCGATAAAACGGACGAAATGGAACGGACGCAGCGCCCCGAACTATGGATGTAAAGATAATGCCGGCGGGGCAGAGATCTGTCTGTGAGAACATAATCAAGTTTCAATTTGAAAACAACTCCGAGGAGTGTCTGGAATTTTAAGCGTAGCCCGTACCAATCCGAATTGGCCTAGGACCCGCGTGAGTGTGTGACAAAAACAAAAAGGCGAAATAGAAATGGTAATGGAAAAACGAAAACCAAAAAACAAAAAACCGAAAACCAAAATAAATGGAACAGGAA